AGGAGCCAACCCCTCTTCGAAAATAACATGACCAAGATAGAAAACAGAGTCAACTCCAAAGGAGAACTTTTCCCTGTTGATCTTGTACTGATTGTTATGCAAGGCCTGGAGGACCAGAGCTAGATGTTGTGCATGCTCCGGACAGAATGATTGAATACCAAGTTGTCATCCAGGGAGACAACAACAAACTTGTGCAGGTAAGGCCTAGCACTATGCGCACATCTCCACACGTACTTATGCACCACCAACTTCGCCGACGGATGACGAAGTCGCGGTGGGGGACATCCTTGCGTATGTTACCAAGGTGGCCCGCGAGTTTCGCACGCAGCGGTACAATGACAACAACGCACCACTCACGTAGGTCCGCATCCAGGTTGGACAATTGTCCTGCAGCGCTTTGCTGGATAGCGGCGCCTCTCGCAATTTCATGAGCCAAGCCTTTATGCAAAGGGCTGGCCTTAGCTTAAAGTTCGGAGGAAGGCAAACCCGACGGCGATCAAGTTGGCGGATGGAAAGACGCAGCCACTTCTCGACCGTTACATCGAGGCCGTACCGGTTTATTTCGCACGTCATGCATGCGAACTGGTGACGTTCGATATTCTCGACACGGACTTCGACATCATTTTGGGAATGCCTTGGCTTGCAAGTGCAGATCACACGGTCAACTTCCACTGGCGGACTCTTAGCTTTCATGACGCCTTCGGCGCGGAAGTGGTGTGTACTATTCCTCTACTGCACCCTTCGATTCGGTGCCAAGTGGTGACGGCCAAATCATTCCGGGCGACTTGCGCTTACGAGCAGCCCGAGGAAATCGGCCTATGTTTCCTACAGACTGTCGCGGCAGCCGACTCTTCACCCACGGACTTGTCTTCGGACCCCCGTGTGGTGCGGTTGCTGGACGAGTTCGCCGACATCTTCGAGTCACCTACCGGTGTGGTGCCGGATTGGCCGATCTCTCACGAGATCATTTTTGCGGCTGGTGTTGTGTCGCCGAAAGGTTGCATTTATCGGATGAGCGAGGAGGAGCTTGAGGTCCTCCTCGCACAACTCGACGATTTGTTGGCCAAGGGCTGGATCCGCCCTAGTAGCTCCCCATATGGAGCACCAGTTCTCTTCGTCCGGAAGAAGAACAAGGATCTACGATTGTGTATCGACTACCGCAAGCTCAACGCGCAAACCGTCAAGAATGCGGGGCCTCTTCCTCGTATCGACGATCTTCTTGAGCGATTGGGCGGCGCAAGGTATTTTTCTAAGTTGGATTTGAAATTGGGATATCATCAAATCTCGATCCGGCCGAATGATCGCTACAAATCCGCGTTCAAGACGCGGTATGGGCATTTTGAGTGGGTGGTCATGCCTTTTGGCCTCACCAACGCCCTACCGACCTCTCAAGCGGCAATGACCAACGAGTTTCGTGCAATGTTGGACCGGTTCATGCTGGTCTACTTAGATGATATTCTCGTCTATAGCCGGACTTTGGAGGATCATCTTGGGCATCTTCGACGAGTGTTGGAGGCCCTCAGCCGCGTCAAGTACAAGGCCAACCGCGACAAGTGCGAATTTGTCCGGCAAGAGCTGGAATGCTTGGGCCATTTTGTCACACCGGAGGGCATCAGTCCGCTATCGGACAAGTTTCAAGCCATCCAAGAGTGGTGGGAACCTCGGAACGTCTCGGATGTCCTTTCGTTCCTTGGCCTTGCCGGCTACTACCAGCGTTTTATCAAAGGTTACTCGAAGATCGCGGCCCACTTGACCAAGCTTCAATGCGAGGATCGATCGTTTGACTTTGGAGAGGAGGCTCGGGAATCATTTTTGGTTATCAAAGCTGCGCTATTACGTGCGGAGGTCTTGTGCATTTTCCAGGCCGTGCGTCCCTCAGGCAGAAAGCCTGAAATTCAAGCTAAAAGCCTGAAAACCAGGGCCTACAGGCCCCGTAACTGTTCAACCCGAAAGCCTGAAAACAGGGGTCTACAGTCCCTGTGTCGTTTCAGACTAAAAATGGCAATAGCCTTTTTAGCCTGAAACGAAGGGCCATTTTTGGTCGTTCATCAGAACGACCGGCCCTGAAACTTAGGCACCGAACCAGGGTTTCGGGAACAGGCTATTCTTAGCCTGTTCCCCACGCTAGGCTCAGCACCTGCTGCAGCGCCAGCCCCTGGCACACTTCGGCATTGGCAAGAGCAGCCTCCTCGGCCTGGCTCACCCTTCAGGCAGTCGGGAGGCAGGCCGAGGTAGTACAAAGGGACTTCCCATGCACTTCACGGGTAGGCAGGAGGCAGTAGTAGTCTTCAAGATTCGGCAGCAACACTTTGGAGGGAGCGCTGCAAGAGTAGTAGTAGCGTTAGCCTTAGTCTTTAGCGCTGGGCGCAGTAGGTAGTTGTAGTCTCCAGCGCTGGGCGCCAGCTAGGATAGCACTAGAGAGAGAGAGATTGGGCAGAGGCCAGAGGTACTTACCTGCAGCGCCGTTGCTCCAGCTTCTTCTTCGAGGTACCTGCAGCACAACGCCAACATCACAGGTTAGTATCTGGCTCGTGACAGAGAGAGAGTTCTTCTTCCTCTTCTCAGTCCACCATCTTCCTCTTACCCTCTCCTTATCCGACTTCACTGCATCTGCAGAATGTGCGAGAAGAGTGAGAGAGAGAGCTTGGTGACCTTGGATCCAGACTCGACTTTTGGGCTTCAAACATTACGACGAGGGATTATTTGGGACTTGTGACAAAGACTTGGTGTTGACGACATTCTCATATCTCCCCCTCTCTTCGTCTGATCCCCTCCTCTTCGTCTGTGTATGTCTGCACCTGGCGCTTTCTTCCTGTGTACAGCGCGCCAGGCTCCTTCACACCTGGTGATGGATACGATGTATGTTTGGTCTGCGTTCAAACATTGATTGGGCTAGTCATTAGCATTCTAGCATTCTGCTTCGCTATCTGATACTATGTGAATGAGGTCAGTCCCAGTCAGGTCAGGATTTGAATCTAAGTCTTCCCTGCGCTATTCAACACCATTTTGTATGTATTAGAATGCACATTGCTTGTTGAGATTCTACTTGCACTACATTGTCCATCGAGTCCTTTTCATCACATTGCGGATCCTCGGTTTCTATGTACATTGCCCAACTGGGCGTGTAACACTGACACTGGCACTGAGCGCCCACTCAAAGCTCAGAGATATGGAAGTCGGAAACACAGTTCAGATACATGCTCGCTTCAGCAGGCCATGGCACATCTGCGCCTGTACAATTCTCTGTTCGTCACTGTGCTCAACTCCGTTGTTCACACACACTCAACTCAGGATCACCCTGGATATCCCACATGCGACACACTGTATCACACACACTGACATGCTACACTCGCCTACCACCTACGGCGGCTATGGCCGCTCAACCCTCCTGGCTATGGCTATGCAACCTCTACTCTGCCCACTTCGTCTTCGGGCGCTCTGCAGACCACCTCGCACAAGTCGCTCAAGCAGCGCTTCCAAATGGCTTACGCAGGAATGAATGAATGGCGGAGCGCTGCATCTTGATTTATACTTTGTTGGTCTGCCCCTTTCCCATGCCCCTGGTGCACACAGCCCCACACGGTACTTGCTTGACTGGACTGTGACTGACTGGGACCGGTACCGCGGACTGCATGGGCTTGCACTGCCAACTCGATGCAGTCGCACCGCCGACGTACCGCAGTTGGGCTCACCACTTGCCCACTTGCCTCTGTCTAAACGTGAGAAAACTTCGAAAGGCCGCTTCCGGACCTTTCGGAAACCTGTGGACTTGGCCTTTCGAATACTGTAGCAGCTACGGCCTTGGCCTTTCAGGACTGTAGCAGCTACGACCTTGACCTTTCAGGACACCTACAACTACGACCTCTAGGACTCACTAAGGCCTCTATCCAATAGGTCCACAGATCGAACCCCTACTACAATGACTTGCTGATTTCTACTGCTGAGATTGACTGCGAGGCTGTATAGTACAGCGGAAGGATTGATTCGTATCGGCCCAGTACTAATTCGAATTCCTACAGCTACCCTAACTGCGTAGAGTAGGCCCGGGCTACCCCTAGGACAGACAGATCCTAAGTGGCCTATGCTGATAGATGGTCCTATAGCCTATAGCCGGGTCCGGTAGAGGCCGAGAGGCCGAAACAGAAACGGTACTGGTCGGTCAGTCGGTCCGGTTTAGGTCTAGTGTAGTCTATAGATAGGTTAGGCCCATCGGTTCAGGACTTTTGGCAGTTCATTTCTCGCGAAGCAGCGTTGGAGAAGCCAAGCAAGTTGGTGGCGGTGTTTGTCTGCAGGCGACATCCTGAGACCTCGCCGTTGACAGCAGCCATAGCCGGCCCAGTCTGAGTCTGCCATAGCTGGGGCATCCTCAGTTCATCTACCCCAGAGGTATCTGCGTCGGGCCGGGCCACATCGAGGCTCTACATTGTGTACTCATGGGTGGTGGCAGCCATAGCTGCTTGTTCCTTCGTCAGAGCTGTCCATCGGCACTAAAGACTTCATCGCAGGACCTGTTTTTCATCAGGGTGGTTGGCGCTGGCCTCTGGGAGGCCATTCTGATGTGGCGCTACTAACTGGGTGTAGGATAGAGAGTGGGGTGTGAGTTATGAGAGTGGCGAGATACTGGATCAAACTCTGTTACGATAATTGTTTGAGTGGCTCATCATCAGTGCAATTTCAATTGTTATCCTCGCAGGTTCTACTTGTGATTGGTTGTTGGGAGTTTGTCAGAGAGAGAGAAACACTGTGTCTTCTCCCCATCTGTGCATAGTCGTATTCCGCTGCCTACTTCGATCTGTATGCAGTGTGGACTCTGTCTCCTCTCCCACTTCTCTTATGCATGTATGGGCGTGTATGAGATTGTCTGTGTGTGAGTGGCGGTAAAAATCGTCAGACAACCAATATCATAATAGTTGGTATCGGAGCGGGATTGGATTTGGAACACTTAGGGTTGAGCGCACTTCATCTGGCGATATACTGGTGAGAGCTTCATGGCGATTCATCTTCCCCAGTACTGAGTCAGCAGGGAAGAAGACTTTCTGCGGGGAATTCAGGTGTTCAGAGTTTGCACCGAGCAAGCGCATTGAGCCTGTCAGGGCGCTTGTCAGGAAGTGGCGAGTTCAGGGCTAATTCGCCATAGCCAACCCTGAGGGTAGTGTTGCGAATTACGCCAGAGTGGCGAATTACCCATGAGGACGTCAGGGAACCCTGAGAGGCATCATCCCTGGGTATCTCTGGTAAAGATTGATACACTATATCAATCTCCAGAAGAAATAACCCCATCTGGGGCTATTTTTAGCATCAGCGGCTACTAAGTACTGTGGCGAGATATTTTGGTGTTGGCATATTGGGCGCCACAGGACCAGATACAGTGCATCTGGAGTAAGGGAGTGCAGCGCTACAGGACCCTGAGGAGGATCAACGAGTTTGAAGCAGTTCTATGCGTGGGATTGTCAGGAGGAATATCAGGAAGGTATTGGCGAGATAAGGGTAACATCTGCCATCGACACCTGCAAGATTCTCTAAAAGTGAGTCCGTTCCATGCACCTACCTGCAGAGCGATCCAGATAGGATTAAATAAGTCAATTATAATGGTCTATCTGTCTGTCAGTGACTGGATGTGAAAATCGCAGACTGCATGACAGCCATAGCCATTTCTCCCCTACCTCTGTCTGCTCATTTCTAACCCTTTGTTGACTCTTTTCAATCCAAAATTGTTATGTGATTGCTATATTGCATTGCGATTGATTTGGGATACTCAATCAATGACTTTTGTACTGGAAAGGTAGTGATACTGTGAATTGCAGTTTTGCGCTGAGTCTATTTATAGCCTGTGCTAACTAGGGTCAGTCACAACTTCAATTCTGTCTGTCAGAATTCCATTCTATCAGGTCCCAATGAATCGCAATCCAAAAATAGACACTATTGCAGAATCGCATGATTGGATTTACAGTATTTCACTGGATACAGTGAATACTGTACTTCGCCATACCCCAAGGTATGGCCGCCAGAGTCGTCAGGATCTAAACTGGAGTCTGAGCTAGGTTATAGGGTGTCTGTCTGAATCGCTTGTTGTGGTTGATCTCTCTTGTCAATACTAACCATCTTCTATCATTCTCACTGATGACACTTGTTTTCTAGTGGGCTCTGAAAATCTAGTGGGTCTTTGGAAGAGTAGTGGAGGGACTCGTAAACTCCAGTGTGGTGCAGGGTCAGTAAAAGGAAATCGTGTGCATGATTTTGCTGGACGTACTGTTTGTCTGACACCTGACCCCAGAGACACCCTTCCAACCCAAACCGCAAATTGCCTATACACCCATCTGTTCCAGTGTTTGAGTTTTGCGGCGATTCCAGGGTGTCTGAAGGAATCTGAATATCGCTGCATACTCGGGTTGCTGTATATTATTTGGTTATTTTTTTAAAGGAAAATGTCTGACCTGGGGGCTCAGCAACAGCCACAGGTGGAAGTGGTGATGAAGGTGGAAGGTCAACAGCCTTCAACCTCCACTCCTCCTCCTCCACCTCTGACTGCTACTCAACAGGAAAAGGAGTTGCAAGAGCAGTTGTGGCGCCTACAGGACCGGCTTGCAGAGTTGGAACGTCAGGAGGCAGTTGAGCTAGAGGCTGCAACAGATTATTCCAGAAGGGAATATTTGTTGCAGCAGCTAGACAAGGTGCTCTCAGATCGTTTCCGGAGCACCTGGCTAAGCTAGAGGCTGCAACAGATTATTCCAGAAGGGAATATCTGTTGCAGCAGCTAGACAAGGTGCTCTCAGATCGTTTCTGAAGGGAATATCTGTTGCAGCAGCTAGACAAGGGAATATCTGAGCTAGAGCGCTGTGCATAGGTGACTAAGCACCTGGCGGAGATGATCATTCTGGAGCACAAGATCACCAGTTCCCACTTCACGAACTGGGATCATCGTTTTGATCGTTTGGAGCGTCCGGTTGACAACCTGGCCGCTCAGCAGTCTAAGATTCTGGATGCGATTCAAAACTTGACTGCTCAGCTGTCAGCCGCCAAGCTGATTGCTCCTCAGCTCCCTCTGATAAAACCCAAACCTTCTCCTCCTTCTACCCCTCCTTCGTCTCCCCCTGGATCGGTGCATTCTTTCCAGACTTCACACCAGTCCCAAAAAGCCTCAGGCAAGGCCACCTACCCTGCTGTTGCTGCAGGACATCACGGAGGTCCCAAGATCCCTGCACCCAACAAGTTCAGGGGTGATGATCCCAAGACCGGTGTTGGGGATTGGGCTGCAGGGACCAGAGCCTTCTTGAGGGGCTTTGTTTGCCCAGAACAGACCAAGGTGGCAACCGTTCTGGGACTGCTGGAGGGGCTACTTCAACCTCCAGCAGTCTGCAGCAAACTATGGAGGACTGGGCTTTGGGACTGGGAGTGGACAGGCTTCTGCAGGCTTTGGAAGACCGCTTTGCAGACAAGGAGCGGGCCCACAAAAATGCTGACAGGATTGCTCGCCTGGGACAGCAGCGCTACAGCGGCTCCCTGCAATCCTTGTTTGCAGAGTCCGAGCAGCTGACTTCCACACCAGGACTGGTGATGTCTGCAGATGACCTGCTGGCAAACTTCTGCAGGGCAGCCCCTGAGAAGTTTTCAGTTGCATTGTACAGCGCTGGACACAAGGACTGGAGGTCCTTTCGCCGCGCAGCCCTGGACATCGAGGCAAAGATTCATGTTCAGGCCCCATCCTCTGATAGGAGGAAAGGTGCCTTCCCTAGAGGTGGTAGAAAAGGAAAGGCAGCCTTCACTCATGCGGGATCTGCATCAGGTTCAGATTCTGCTGACGTGGCACTGCTGAAGTGATACTGCACTGTCATGACCCTGCTGCCGTCCCCTGCAACTGACGTGGCACTGCAACTGTCGTGGCCTGCTGACGTGGCACTTACCAAGCCGAGAAAACAGACAGGGGGCTGGGTGGGAGGGAAACGCAGGCAAACCACCAAACTGCAATTTCCATGCCGGTCCTAATCAACAGAATAAAATAAAAAAAAATAAAGAAAAGAAGCGGATCACCCTTTTTTTTTTTCTTTTTTTTTTTGTATATCTGTCGATCTGTTATCAGTGAGGCATTTTACGAACAATGCTATGAGTGAGATTTAGGCAAGGTAGGATAAAGGCTCGATTTTCAGCAAAATAATAAATTCCGTTTCCGAGAATATGACAACCTCCTATTTGCCTAGAAACGAAATGCTGATAGGCTTCGCAAAATTTCGGCTTTCAGAGACCAACTTTTTGCAAAATAATAAATTTCGATTTTCAGAATATAATAAATTTCGTTTCCCCGAATATGACAACCACCGTCGTAACCCTAATATGCCTAGAAAACGAGATGCTCACGTCAGAAATTTTCGGATACTAGTATAAAAAAAAATGAAATGCTACTATCAGAAATTTTCGGATATTTGTTTCGTAAAGAAAATGAAGTGCAAATATCGGAACTTTTCCAGATAAAACGAATGTTATTATCAGAAAATTTTGGATATTTGTTGCGCGAAAACGAAATGCAAATATCAGAAATTTTCAGATAAAACAAAATGCTGATATCCGAGGTTGCGAAAAAAAAAGAAGAAAGAAAAAAAAGATTTGCAGAGATTTTGACGAAACCCTTCTTGATTTACTAACCAATCAATCAATCAATCAATCAATCAATCAATCAATAGATCAAGCAAGCTGACGACTTGATTGGGCGAATCTTGATGAAAAAGATCCGCTCCGATACCAAACTGTTGCATACCATAACGGTGCAGACCAGACCAAGAACCGTCCTTTCTCGCCAGATACAAGATAGCACAACAGAAGGCTTGAATACCAATGATCCGATCAATCAAGCTGCCATGCAGACCAAACWTGCATCATCATCATTCCATGGTGTGAAGGGCGCTGACGCACACAGGAAGAATGCGTCAGTCCCCGATCATACACAAACGGAGAAGAGGGGGATTAGACGAAGGGGAGGGGGAAGATGGAAATGTCGTCAACACCAAGTCTTCGATACAGTCCTAAATAATCCCTCGCCAAAGGTCTGAATCCCGATGCTGAGTCTGAACCCCAATGTTGTCAAATCCCAATGTCGCCCATCTCTCTCTCTCTCTCTCTCTCTCTCTCTCTCTCTCTCTCTCTCTCTCTCTCTCTCTGTGGCATACTGCGTAGCCACACGGGCCCTGCAGGGCCCGTCCCGCACTTTCAGCCTAAAAGCCTAAAACTTAGGGCTTACAGGCCCCGGTCGTTCAGCCTGAAAGCTGAAATACGAGGGCCTGCAGGCCCTATTCYGTTTCAGCCTATTTCTGGGCCTTTCAGGCCCAGAGGCTTTTTAGCCTGAAACGGAGGGCGTTTTTTCAGGCCCTCATTGTGTTCGACCTACCTAAGACTCAGGCTTGAAAACAGGGTTTCAGAACAGGCCAGAAATAGCCTGTTCCCCACGCCAGCTCGAGCAGGAGCTGCAGCTGCAGCCCCTGCCTCCCGTAGGCATTGGCAAGAGCAGCCTCCTGGACTGCCTCGCCTGCAGTCAGGAGGCACCCGGTAGTACATAGGAAGTTCCCATGCACTTCACGGGTAGGTAGTTGTCAGTAGGCACGAGTAGTCTTCAGGATTCAGCGCAGCACTCAGGAGGAGCGCTGCAGGGAGTAGCTTAGCGCTAGAAGTAGTCTTCAGCGCTGGGCGCTAGTAGCCATAGCCATAGTCTTCAGCGCTGGGCACTAGTAGGTGGTAGATCGTAGAGTTGGGAGAGATGGCTGGCGGACTCCAGCGAGACTTACCTGTGGCGCCATAGCTCCAGCTCCATCTTCGAGGTACCTGCATCAAGGCGCCAACTTCACAGGTTAGTACTGGACTGAGAGAGAGAGAGAGAGAGAGAGAGAGAGAGAGAGAGTCTTCCGCTGTGCTTAGTACTGCATCAAGGCGCCCATAGCCATAGCAGTAGTCTTCAGCGCTGGGCGCTAGTAGGTGGTAGATAGTAGAGTTGGGAGAGATGGCTGGCGGAGGCCAGCGAGACTTACCTGTGGCGCCATAGCTCCAGCTCTATCTTCGAGGTACTGGCATCAAGGCCCAACTTTACAGGTTAGTACTGGACTGAGAGAGAGAGAGAGAGAGAGAGAGAGAGAGAGAGAGAGAGAGAGAGAGAGAGAGAGAGAGAGAGAGAGAGAGAGAG